TGTGTTATAAATTAAAGATTACAAAGAAATAAAATTCTATAATTCTAAATATATGTTGCAAGTCAGAGTGATTATTAATTCTCTCCTTGTCATTGGTGATCCAATTTGATGCAATTCTAAATATGTTTTACATATTGGTACAATTCTTCAAGACCTCTCTAAAGAATAAACTCTCTTTATTTGAATTATTTATTATGGAAAATGGCGAAATACTCATGGTCGTGGTCATGCAAGGTTTAACTCTCAATTTGTAAATCGTCCTTCATGTCAACTTTATGAAAAATATGATCATGTGGTGATCAATTACTAGTTTCAATATGATGATTCTTTTGATCCGTATCAGTCAAAGGAACAAGAAAATTCCTTTAATAATCTGACAAGTTCAAAAATAATTAAGTTTCCACATCTTGCCAAGCTACTGCACTCCTAATTCATATTCAAGAGTACGAGGACAAACAAAAAGGACTTTATAAGATGTAATTATAGGGGAACTCTAAGGGACATGAAAAAGGTGACCATGAGCTCAAATAATCCTTGGCACCTACCCGAATTAGAAAGCTGCTCCCTGATTGGGAAATATCCTACATAATACATGAAAGGTTGAAACATGATGCATTCGAGCTGGAAGAGTTGAATGGTAGTTTCATCCCTAGACCCAAGAACTTAGTAAACCTGAGGCAACATTAAAGTTATTGTTTATCTTGTCAAATGAATAAGGTGATGAGTCATCCTACCACAATCTACATTTAAAATTCAACATATAAACAAAAGAAGTAAGGTGTCAGTATTTTATCTTGCAAAGACGGGGTTTTTAACAAAGCACCATATTTTCTAAATAATATTGTTTGCAGAATTCATGGAAGTATGTTGCACCCTCTAGACTATCATTATGCTCTATAGGGTACCATCGGGTCTTACAAAGCATCACTCCACCCTGCAAAGTATCGTTGCACTCTTATAAATTTAGTTTTTGGTTTATTTTTTAATATTTAAGAATCCTCACTTATCGTGCACGTTAGAGTTGAGTTCTTAATTTGTTTTTACGCATACATAAATTAAGTTGTTTGATTATAGTCATAGCAATATGCTTCTAATCAAATAGTCAAAGTTTTTAATCAAGAAGCAAATTTAAGAATGGTTTAATTTATACCAAGTTTAGATTTAGAACAACATTTCATTTTGATAAAAAAAATTTGAAACTTTTGAAGTATGATACAAATCACAAATTCAGGTGACTCGAATCAAATTGTGTGGAAAAGCCATAATTTTTATTCTATGAGTTTGATTTGAGTCATAGAAGTTCCTGACTCGAAACAAATATATTTAAGAAAAATAGGTCTTTTATTCTGTAAGTTTGATTAAAATAACAATAATCCATGACTCAAATTAGAGAGGTTTGATTCGAATCACAATTATACTTGACTCGAATCAAACTCAGACAACAGATTTTGGATTTTGGTTATGTGAACCTGATTCAAATTAGAGATTTTGTTGACTTGAATCACACGACTAAAATCATAAAAAAAGTTATTCTAATCATAGGAGAAGTTTTTCATGGTTCTTGGATTTACATTCAAATCATTTACTCTTTTGACTCGACTCATACTACTTGCTTGTTACTTGAATAAAATGGAACTTTTCTCTCATTTTTGTGCTTGATCTCTAACACATATATAACTCTTTTCTTTTCAAATCCCTTTCAAAATGTTCATAACATACATTTCCACTTTATAATTTAGAACCCACATTAGGGTGTCAAATATGTGTGGAGCATCGTTTTTGCGATTAACATTTTGTGATGATTTCTTGAGGATTCTAGGGGTTGACATATGAATGTGTGGTTATTGTTGGGATCGACGAATCTAATGGAAAAAGAAGGAGGTGCTTCTCTCCAAGATTACTTTTGTAGTGTTGTGTGGAAGCCTATGGACAAAGTTGGTTTTATTTATCTTTAGACAGTACAAGGCTCTAGGTACCTATAAGATTGAGTAAATATCACTATAGAATAGAGGCTTAGAAGAGTATTCTTAGAGATGGAAGATTTAAGTCCAAGTTGAGTATAGATTTTGCAAGAGCTCAGTGTCAAAAGATGTGTACCTTCAAACATAATTAAGATAAAGATCTTTGTTTTCAGCATTATTTGAATTATTATTGCACTAAATGAATATGTGTATAACTTTCAATATAATATCTTAAGAACACCAAACTTTCATTGGGAAACTATTAGAGAGTGGAGTAGGCATAACAAGAACAACATTTCGAACCACTAAACATCCTACGTAATATCCTCTTCTCTCTCTCTCTCTCTCTCTCTCTCTCTCTCTCTCTCTCTCTCTCTCTCTCTCTCTCTCTCTCTCTCTCTCTCTCTCTCTCTCTCTCTCTCATCACTCCCTCTTTAAATTTTATTTAGAATTGCATGTTTAGATTTAATGCTTTCTTGGAATCGCATGATATTAGGGTTTATTGTATTTATAGCAATTTCGTTAATACGTTTTAGGTTTTGTTAGATTGAGACTCTAAAATATTTCTTGCTTTTTATTAAATCTAAAGACCGTTATGTTAGATTTCTTACTCAATTGATAAGACTCATTTTACATAAGATGTGTATATTGATTTTCATTCAATCGAAATATTAGTTGTACTGAGACTCTTTCATCTATTATGCATTTTGTTTCCATGATTAAGTGTGCAATCGATTCCATCCAAAAAAACATATAGAATTTTGTATGTAAATCTTCTATTGCACAAAACTATTTTCAAATTATGAATTTTAAAATAAATTTTAAATCAATCTATTTTTAAGAAGGTTTATTCTAGCACTCCTTCTAGACATTATATTTCGTACTATCCCCAATGATTAGCCGCAAAGCTGGTATTTTGATCAGGTTTAACAACTCCAAAAGTTAAGAATATGGGTAACAATGTTCTAAAAGACAGTGTACAATAAATCCCCAAATTTCAAAGGAAAAAGCTATGCGTATTGGAAGGAAAATATGTGCGTTCACATAATGCCATTAAAAAATCATTGGTGGACCTTTTATTCTTAAAAGTGAATTCAATGTTGTTTTTACCGAAAAAATCTTAAAGGATTGGTCAAATGAAGAAACCAGAAAGGCATCATATGATTTAAATACAAGGAATATACTTATTTTTGCAGTAAGCATGAAAGTATATTACTCAATCTCGTATTTAAGAATTCACAATCAATGTGGAATGTGCTTCAAGTTCTCCACAATGGTACTAAAGAGTAAAATGATCTAAAACATGTTGACAGATGAGAATGGACTATTCTGATAGAACCCGATAAAATAGTGGAATCTATGCAGAGTCATTTTGTCCATTTAACCGACAAGCTAGAATTTAGGCAACTCTCTTTTTTAAAAATATTGTGCTAACAAAATTTTGAGATCAATGTGAAGAGAATGACAACCTAAATTTAAAGCCATAATGTAATCAAATGATCTTAATAATTTGGATATTTCAACCTTATTTGTAAAGCTGACTAAACATGAAAATGAATTAAGAAAGCTCGCTGCAAGTGAAGTAAATGCCAAAAAGAAAGAGAGAGTGCAATAAGAGAAGCAAGACATCTCCTTGAAAGCCTCCTCATCCAAGGAAAGGAAATAAAAGGAAGACGATGAAAGTTTTGAAGAAGATTTTTTCAAAGAGGAAGAAACAAGGTTATCTATCAAGCGCTACAATTAATATATAAAGAAAAATCGGCACAAGCACTCTGACAAAAATTTGATCAATATTAAGAAATCTTATCCACATAAAAAAAAGAAAAAGGAATAAAATGTTACATGCTATAAATGTGGAGAGTTAGGTCATTAGCGTACTACATGTCTGTGTCTCAACAAGCATAACAAAAATAAGGATAAATACTTCTACACTACAAAGGGTAATTGCACCAAAGACCATAAGGCTTATATTACTTGGGAAGGAGAAGTCGAGAGCTCATCATTAACTTATAGTTCGAGCTCAGATAATAAATTTGAAAATATGTGTTTGATGGCACATAAAAAGGTAAAGACTCCGAGGTATATGATTATGATTCTGATTTTAAATTGTCTTACAATAAATTGTCTAAAGTGTTTAGAGAAATGCATGATGACGCGTTAGGCGCATTTAAGAAAATCTCCCATAAAAACAATTTTAAAATGCGAGAACAATATTTGTGATTTTAATAGTGCTTTAGAATCCTCAAAGAAAGTTCATGCATCTCTCGTAACTAAGCAATTATGTGTTTCAGATGCTTTAATTGAAAGGGTAGTTAAATTAGAATGTGACACTTGTCTAACTTTGAAAACTGAAAATGAAAACCTAAAAAGGCAATTGACACGAGTCATTTCACTATTGAATGTTGTTTCTACTTCTTCAAGTGATAGAGGGCTTTATTTACTTTGCTAGAAAATATATAAATAATATTTCATCTAAAACAACCTTTCATTATTATGGTGATAAATGTCACATTAGACCTATTTTCTATCCTAGGAATAACAAACATTCTAATAGTATTATATGGATACCTAAGTGCTCTTTTACTAACCCTCAAAGACTCATTAGTCGGGTACCTAAATTACCTATTTGACTTCTTATAAGATGGTCTTGCCCGCACAAAAAGACACAAAAAGGACGTGGTTCCTAAATAGCGGATGCTCAAAACATTTAACAGATACTTCAATGTTCATCAAATTTGATCACAAAGAACGTGGTCACAACACTTATGGAGCTCATATTAAAATACACATCCTAAACCAACCCATGGTTAAATATAAAACACTTAATAAAAACCTTATTTTACAAACGTAAAAAGTTACAAAACAAGTTAATATCATAAATACAGAAATCTACATAGAGATATAGAAATAGTGACTACACACACAAAAACAAATTACATTACATTACACAACCACAATTTTCAACTACAATTAATATATAGATCTAAAAAGATCTCCATAATGTTATCACAACCACACCATTATTCATTATTCATTTATCTATTTGAAGAGTGGAGAGTATGCAAGTTCAATCCTGTTGGCCATACACTTAAGAAAGTTTCCAATGTAAGAATGCAAATTTTGCAAACTCCATCCTTCCACCGGATCACAAACACACTCCCATTCAATCATACACCCTACACGTTCATCATCGTCATCACCACCGTCGATTTTCAGCGGCAATACTTTCATTATAGCCACGTAATTCTTAAATCCCATGTTGTTATCAACAATTTCATATGACAAACAACGTTGTGCATGATCAATTGTCAACAGCTTCTCTTTGAACCACTTCACAACTGCCTCTGAATTTTCATCACCACCCTTTTTGGTTGAAGCACAATATCGAACAACACCAGGTTCCCCATCAACTCCTTCGACTTTATAACAAGTATCAATCGGTAGCCATTTGTGTAGGTTACAAAAATCTTGTAACACACTCCATACTATTTCCTCCTCGGTTCCTCTTACCTCAACAATGGCTTTACCTTCCCATTTTTTCACCTTGTTTTCCTCTCCCATTTTTCTACTCGATTAACTCAATAACTTGATGAAATTGGTGAGGGAGTTGATATCTATATATACATATATCTAAGCATATATTGGTCAACCCATGCAGTATTCTAAGAAAGCAACCACCCTCCCTATCAAATTTCAATATTCAAAATAATACCCGGTCAATAAAATGAAAGTTTCAATATATTATAATAATATTAATAGTTTACTCAAAGTAAACATTAATACTTCTAGACAAAATTAATAAATTAATAATATAGTATTGGATGATTAAATAAAAAATCTAGAGCTTTCATTAACTCTACACACAAGTTGTACATATGATTGATTAGTTTTTGATTCGTTGCTTCTGTGCCAGGCTGCTAAATATGTCGCTGTAAATGAATTGGCATGGTCAAATATATTGGATATGAAATGGATGAAATCATGATTAATTAAATTCTCTTAAAATAAAATAAAGTATAGGTTGTCCCACACTTCTCCAAATACATCTGTCTTTGCTTGTGAGAAACTATTTTTGAAAAACTAGTAACGCAAACATAAATGTTTCATAACTTCCGCAACAATATATGACCATTGAACGCAAATTAACAAATGTATAATAACAGAAAGAAAAATATGATAATTTTATTCACTTATCCATATGTATGATGCATTTCTATTATCATATAAATATAAGTGAAAAATAATTTATAATCTTTTTAGTAATACATAATGTTAATTTTAACCTAGAAGATGGGAGAACTTAGAGTGTGTCTCTTTTTTTTTTTGAGGGGAATGTATTTACGGGGTTTCAAGGATCTAGGGTTTATTCCCTTTTCGTGGTCTTAACCGTCCACTACTACAAATAATTCTATTTCACTTCGGATGCGAATGAGATATAACCTCAATTACACAAGTGAGACAACAAATGACGACATAAAAATCTGTCACTTTACCCATCAATTTTTGAGTAACCAAGTGAAAAAGTGGTCATGGTCATGAGTTTGATCCTAAGCAATTGCATTTTCTGGATTTTCAAACATGCGCTACTTTTTACCTCAGATTTAAAAAATAACCGAGGGGTAAAATCCTGTTAACAAAATTTTAGTTTTAACCTATTTTTGTCGTTTTAATCTATAAAGCATCAAATTTTTTGACAAATTCTAAATTTTTCTCTGTGAAGACAAGCTTCCATGTGTTTCAATGAAGACAAGCCCATTGATAAAGACAAGCTCAATATTGATATGATCAAAGAAAGAAAAAGAAGAAATGCATAAGACTTGACTACATTAGCAATATTTGATTGATCAAACTTTTAGGTATATGAAATTCTTGACTAAAACATTCTTAGTGTTCAAAATATTTATTATCTTGCATTAATTTTTATTTTTCATGTTTGAACCATATTAAATCAATTTTAAATATAATCTATTGACTTGGATAAATCGATAGATGTTGTATAAGATTGTTTCAAATACTTAGACAATTTTTTAAAACATTTTGTTTTTGATAAGTAGTGGCGTTTAAAACTGTTGTAACAACACAATAAACTGCCACAAATTGCACCGGCCTGAAACAGTATTTGAAATTTAAATTTGAAAAATGTTGTGAACTTGTTAAGTCAAGTATCTGTTTAACCGACTTAACAAGTACTGTTGTAGAATTGAAAAATGTTTTGTTTGAGTGCACATTTTCATCATATTTTTTCATGGCATCCCTTACATCATTTCTCTTATTAAAATTCAGAATTTCTCTAACCATTGCCATGATTTTTGAATGAGGGTTTATATCATTATAAATTCATTTCAAATACTCACATCTTTCATACAAATATTAAAAGCTCTCTACATTTATTTTCTACACAACTTTTATACTTAGATACTTTTTTAAAATACATTTTTACATTATTATCATAAAAGTATCTTGAGCACTTTGAGAGAATTTGTCTTGAATCTTCATACTTGAAAGAGAATAAGACTTTGTTATAAGTCTTAAAGAATTATACAAACTTCATTTATTTAAATCTATTGTAATTGTTACATGTTCCTCATTATCAAGGATTGTTTGGTACTAGGAAGGATCTATAATAAGGTGGATTGTATCTTCTTGTAAAGACCTTTACTTATTGTTTAGGATTGTTGGGAATAAGTGTGTTGTAAATTCAAGAGGATTGTTCTTTGTGGTTTTTGTTAGTGTTTGTATAGGAAGACTAGGATAGTCTTATATAAGTCCTAACAATAGTAAAATCTCTTTCATGTTGAAAGGAGACTGGAGTACTCTTGGACTGTGAGAGACACCATGATATTTATCGGTGTTCTTTATCTTTCCGCACTTTACCGTTTTCACCACTTAGAGTCTAAATCGAAAAAATAAGAAGACATAAGTTAAAAATTGGAAATATTATAAAGTACCTAATTCACCCGCCCTCTTACGTGCAAACTTTACTTACAACTGACATCAGAGCTGTTTTCAAGGATGGTTGTAGTAGCAACAAACCCCCACTATTTTCTAGCGTGTTTTTTGATTTCTAGAAAATACACATAAAGACTCATTTAGAAGCACAGAGAGAAGGAATTTGGAAAACCGTCAAAAATGGTTCACATAATCTTGTTAGTGTTGTTAATGGTGTCGGAACTATAAAGACTAAAATTTCTTATGATGAAGATGATAGAAAGAGAGTCCTTAATAAAAATAAAGTCATTAGCATACTAAAAAGCACACTAAATATGGATGAATTCTTCCACATCTCTCGATGTAAATCTGCAAAAGAAAGTTGGGACACTTTGGAGGAAACTCATGACGAAACCACTGAAGTTAAAAGGTCAAGATTGAATACCTTGAGTCAAGAATACAAAATGTTCCAAATGCAGCCCGGAGAATCCATCGTCACTTTGCAGAAAATATTTATACATTTAACAAATTATTTGATCACTCTTGGTAAGACGTTTTCTAATGATGAATTAAATCTTAAAGTTCTTAGATCATTAACCAGGGAATGGCAACCTAAAGTGACGACAATATCTAAGAAGAAAAGTCTTTCAATTATGACATCCGCATCATTGTTCGGGAAACTCCAAAAACATGAACTAGAACTTGGACGAGTAGAAAAACATGAACATCAAGAAAAGAAATCCAAAAGCATCGCTTTGAAAGTCGAATAAAAAGAAGAACAAGATGATGCTCCTAAAGAGGATGAGAACTTTATGCTTTGTGAAGAGACTTGGTAAGTTATTTAATAAAAATGATAAATATTTCAATTATGCAAAAAGAAAGTTATATTTCAGAAAAAAAGGCTTCTACTTCAACATCCGATGTCACTTGTTATGAATGTGGTAAACAAGGCCATATTAAGACAAATTGTCTGAAACTCTCCTAGAAAGGTGGCTTCAAGAATAAAAGAGAAAATAAGAACAAGAAAGCCTACATAGCATGGGAAGATAATGAGATAAGTTCTTCATCAAATTCAGATAGCAACGAATATTAAAATCTAGCATTGATGGCTTCACACCATTCTGATGATGAGGAAGAGGTTAATACTGAATTTTTCATTTATGATAATGAGCTCAAAGGGCTATAGATGAACTTCTTAATGAGTGCAAAATTCTGTACAAAATAATATCATCTCAAAAGAAAGAAATATCGTCTCTAGAAAATAAAGTTGAGACAATGGAAAAAGATTATAAAGATGAAAAACAAAAGATAATTAGTGAACAAAAATAAAATTTTGTATGCAAAGAATGTGAATCTCTTTATTTTTAAATTATCCCACTAAAAAGAGTTCTTGAAAGGTATGAAAAAGGAAAATTTGGTTTGGAGTGTTTTCTTAGTCATCAAAGATATTCTAACGATAAAAGCGGTCTTGGTTATTCAAAATTTAGTAAACCAAGTTCAAGTAAACTATCTTTGTTAAAGGTAGTGATCAAACTCTAAAAGAGAAAGTTATCAAAGCCAAAATTTTTCATTCTCATCCTAAAAGGAAAATATTTGTTAAAAAAAAATTATATGTTCCTAGGTATAAAAGTAATTTTGTTCCTACATGTTTTTATTGTGGTATAGTTGGCCATACACCTAATGCTTGCTATGTTAGAAACTTTAGTATGGCAAGTGGAAATTATGTGTGGGTAAAGAAAGGTACTAATTATGAAGGACCTAAGACTATTTGGGTACCTAACAAAAGTTAATTTGTTTTGTAGGTATGCTTGAAGACCACTTCTAATTTATGGTATCTTGATAGTGGTTCTTCGAAGCATATGACGGGAGATATAAACAAATTTTCAGATCTAGTGATTAAGGCCAAAGGTTATGTTACATATGGAGATAACAACAAAGGAAATATTCTTGACATAGGCAAAGTTAGAGCACCACCTTTCATATCCATTGAAGATGTTATTTATGTTAAAGGACTAAAGTACAATCTTCTAAGCACTAGCCAACTTTGTGACAAAGGCTTCAAGATCAAGTTCATCAAGGATGAATTCTTGATTGAAGATGAAGTCAAACATGAGGTAAAAATAAGAGGTAAAAGAAATAATAATATTTTTAAGATTTCCCTTGATGATCTATCTTTGAAATTAAAATATCTAATGGTAAATAGCAATGACTCATGGCTTTGGCATAAAAGGGCTGCTCATATTCATATGGAACATATAAATAAGCTAGTCAAGCATTATCTTGTCATTGGATTTCTTAATATAAAGCTTGCCAAAGATAGATTATGAGATACTTGTCAAAGGGGAAAACAAACCAAATCAACTTTCAAACCTAAAAATGTGGTGTCCACTTCAAGGCCACTACAATTGTTACATATGGACTTATTTGGTCCATAAAAAACAAGAAGCTTTAGAGGTAATTGTTGTACCCCAAAATTTGACCAACCTTTTCTTTTAACTTGGCTTATGTTTCATTCTAATTTTAGCATTTTGCATTTGAATATCATTTTTTCTTAACAGGGAATCAAGAGTTGTTGTGCCATTCAAGAGGAGAGATTTATGTTTAAGCTCAAGCAAGGGTATCATGTGTAGGCC